CCTCCGTACTCCCAGCCACGAAGCGGCTGTGGGGTCTCCTGGAATGCGCTCAGGGCGGCATCCATCTCGGTGTCAGGCAGGGCACGGCCTTCTGACACACTGGCGAGAGACACGGAGCTCTCGCCAACTTCTGCGGGCTCGGCCGGCTCGGCTCGGCCAGCAGGCTCGGCCTCCGTACTCCCAGGCCGCGAAGGCGCTGTGGGGACCTCACGGAATGCGCCCAGGGCGGCATCCATCCCCGTGTCAGACCTCTCTGGCAGAGCTGAAGCGAGGCCAGGAATGTCGGAGAATGCGAGCAGTGCTGCCTCCGACATTGGGCTGCGCGAGGCGCAGCACAATAGCGGCGCGCGGCGTGGAGCGCGCGCGCCGGCTGGCTGGGTTGTGCCAGCAGAAGAAAGATCGCTCGTGGCGCGGCGGCGAGGCTCGGGCTCGCTCGCGCGCACGAGAGACCGTCGCCCTTCGGCGAATGAAGTTAGAATGGATTACGTAAATCCATATTGGCACATCGATCGCTACCAGTAAAGAAAGTCGTGCCGGGCTAAAGCCCTTACTCGTAGTGTTGCTCTCGAAAAAGAATTTGAGGACCGGCCGCGTGCGAAAAAGATTTGTACCGGCACGGGCAGAGGAACGAGAGAAGAATATAGGGTGGATAAAGCGCCTGTTCACGGCATGGAGGGTGAGCCACACCGAACGTACCGAGCGAAGAGCCGAACGGAAGGAGGACGGGGAAGATGACTCCGAGGAGGACGAACCAGAGAGAGAGATTTTTAGCAATACCAAACAAATCTAACACTCACACGTCATTTGGGGCCTTGGAGCCCTGTTCACGCGCGCGCGAGACGTGCAGACAGGGTTGCCAGGTGAGAGCGAATGGCGCGGTTCACGCCTCGCACAACAGAGAGAGAGATGCGCTCTGCATGGTGGGACATAAAAGAACCAGTGGAAATTCAGTTGTCAGATGTCACGATGCATCCGAAGGGGACCCCAGCGCCGGCATCATCCGTAGAGGCACGAGTGTTCGAAGTGAGAGTGGACCTGAGCAACAACATGACCTGGAGGCAAATGATCGGAGTGGGAGTCAGAAATGTGGTCCTTGCGCGAGGGGAGCTCGATAGACTCGAGGGGCCAGGATATGCAGCAAGGAGGGCGGAGCTGCGCCGAAAGGCGAAAGAAGCCGAGAGAACAAGGGAACGGCAGGCGGCGGCGGCGCAGGACGAGGCAGAAGAGAATGACGCGACAGAGGAGGAAGTGACAAGGGAGAGAACGACGAGAGTGGGACGGCCGCGAGGTGGCATGAAGGTTGCAGCGAGAATCGGCGAGAGACTGCGAAAAGAGATAGGAAGAGGCAGACTCCCTAGGGTGGGCGACGGCTAGCGCATCACACTCCTCTCCTTAAAATCCCTGTGTGGTGGCGGCGTGCCGTCCTCCCATCCCTCCCTTGGGTTGTCTGTTTTCTTTCTTTTTTAGAATTGTACAGGCTACGAAATGAGACGATCCGGGGCGTTCTGGATATCTCCGAGAGGGTGGGCACGCGTGTGTCGTGACGGACTGCTCTGGTTTGGAGGCTCCAGCGAGTATTTGTGGAGAGCGCATCGAGATTCAATCGAGATTGCGGAGCTACACGTCGAGGTCAAAACGTGCAGGTGTGAGGCCGCTGGTGCCTCCACCGTCCCTTGGAGACGACCCCACTGCCCTGGGGCGTCTTGATACGATCAAGGGCGAGCACACGGCGCCCCGGCGCGCGTGCCCACGAAACGGTGGCACAAGGGAGGGTTTTCACTCAAAAATCGCCCCCTGCTCGTGCGGGGGCGGGGTGAAATGCAAATGCCGACCGGGCCCAGGTGATCCGTTTAGCGTTTTGCCCCGTGTCGTATGGCTCGTGCACTTTTGATAATAACTAACAAGGAAGAGTGGCTGCTGTGTGTTGGCGCGGCATCGGATCAATCGCTGTCATCGCTCAGAGCAGGCCCCGCCCGGGGCGCCGCCACCGCCTTCCCTTTGCCCTTTCCCACGCGCGGCGCCTCCTCCATCGAAGCGCCAGCTCCATGTAGCACCGCCTCCAGGTCAGTGCGGGCATCCGCGTGGAGGGCAACGACCTCTTCCACGAGCTC